AGCTTTGTTTTGTTCCAGGTTTTAGGTGGAAAGCTTAATCCTTTTCCCCATTCAGTGTGATGTTAGCTATCAGTTTTTCATTTATGGCTTTTATTGCATTGAGAAATGTTACTTCTATACTGATTTTGCTGTATTTATTAATCATGAAGGGATGTTGTGTTTTGTCAAATGCTTTTTCTGCATTGATTGATATTACATATGTTTTTATCCATTCTCTTGAGATTTTGGGCATGCACGTGCACACACACACACACACACACACCCCCCACCCGTGTGTTTCTCAAGCCACCAGGCCCAGATCTGAAACCACAAACTGTGACAGTCCAGCACCTTAACCACCATGCCACTTGCTGACTCTTCCCATTAAGTATTTTTATTTGTTTTAAGAGAGAGAGATTTTACCTATAGGGCACATGTACTCACTAGAGACACAGAGTGAGACAGAAAGCAAGAAATTACACCTCCCTGGCCTTGCTGTAGTCCTTTTTCCTCCATCCTCCTTTAGGGATTTTGGGCATGCATGCACATACTTGTGCCCAGCATGAGTGTTATGTTACTGTGTCTGGTACTCAAACAGATTATGTGGGAGTCCAGTGATATAACCATTGCACCATCCACCCATTAAGTATTTTATCTTAAGACTTAGAAAAGAACCCTGAATTGCCAGGAAAAACATGTGACATAACAAAGGTTCTAAATCATGTGTTAAGAGTCTTACATATAGACAACCATTAATAGCAGTGGAGAATGAACAGAAATAAACTTGAAATATAATGTGGGTAATTCATCCTGCAGGTACTCTGTAGACTGTGGTGATACATGGTGCAGTCTGGTGATAGCCCGGGTGGCTGCTGGGCACTCAGTAGGTCTACAGATGCGGGGGGATATTCTAGTGAAAGCAGCAGTAGTGTTCTGAGGAGAGTGACCTCAGGCAGAATAATTCTTATGCTGGGCAAATATTGTCAGGAAAGTTATGATGTATTTTTCTATGTTTTTCTATGCAAAAATGCATCATGTCTTTCTTGATGACACATTAGAAGATAAGATCAGACTCTGGGCCAGATGAGAGCACACACGCCAGTCAGAGGGGCCTGGAATCATGGACTGTATTGGAGGAGCCTTAAAGGAGTTATCCACCTATTCAACGGTGATCATATGTGTTGTTCACCTTTATGGTGGTGACAATTTCCCCATGTTGGTTAAAAAAATCTTGTCTTAAGATGACTGTAATTATCTCAATTGTCCTCCCCACCACCACCACCACACAGTAATTGTACAGGGCCTAATCACTAGACATAAACACACACACACACACACACACACACACACACACACACACAAAGGGGGGGAGAAAGCAAACCCAATGACACTTGGCCATAATCTAATCCTTTCTCTTCCATTTCTTTATTTGGTCAGGATTTTGAGCACACATTCACCAGTTGTGTTTTAAGTCATTAGCAATAGGATGCAGAAAGCAATGGGCCATGGGGATTAGGTTCTTTTAACCACTAGACCTCAAGACCAGTTTTATCCTGCTCCTTGAGTGATTAAGTGATAAAGAGAAGACTGTACCTAAGTGTGTTTTATTTCATACATCACGTCTCTGGAGTCCCTGATCCTGCTTATGCTGAGAGATGATCAGTTGGGAATGGGAAAGACATTGGTGACTTTAGAATAACAATAAGTTTGTACTTTATTTCTCCTAAGGAATTTCAGAGAGTTGCAGGAAGGTGAGGAAAACCTGTATGAAATGAGGCATTTCTTTGTAAGGACCTGTTTATTTACTTTGTTAACTGAAGGACAAATTTAAGTAGATAGGGTGCTAGATGTCTCTGTTTCTTCTCTGGTAATGATACAAGTCTTTAATGTGCTCAAATATGGGCCAGCTGGTGGTGCAGTGGTTAAGATGCTGGACTCACACATGAACAGCCCCAGATTGAGTTTCAGACCTGGCAGCTTGAAAATCACTCTGAGCACATGTGTGTGTGCCGAAAATCCTAGGAGGAGAAGGATTGTGGCATGGTCATCCCTCGGGGAAAGGGTGGGTGATTTCTCACTTTCTCCCTCATTGTCTCTTCTCTGGCAAGTGCACAACTTGATGGCAAAACAAACCAAAACATAAAAAGATAAGGAAAAATTGCACAAATAGAGTCATCAGGTGTCATGGTGGTTGAGGTATATGACTCCCACATGACTAACTGTGATTTGAGAGCTGGCAGCTTTAAAATTATACTGGGCCATGCACAAGCATACCCAGAATACCAGGAGAAGAATGGAGGAGAGGGGATTGCAGAATGGCCATGCCCTGTGGGGGATGATTTGTCATTCTCTCTCTGTCTCTCTCCTTTTCTGTGGGCACACATGCTCTATTACAAGAACATTAAATGAAAGAAAGAAAAAAACATGTCCGGCGAGTGTATGTGCATGCCCCACATCCCAAGAGGAGAATGTAAAAGAAGGGATTGCAGCATGGCCATTCACTCTGAAGGGATGATTTCTCAGTTTTCCTCCCTCTCTCTGTCTGTCTCTGGTGAGTGCATGAGCCTTGTAGAAAGAAAGAAAGAAAGAGAGAAAGAAAGAAAGAAAGAAAGAAAGAAAGAAAGAAAGAAAGAAAGAAAGAAAGAAAGAAAGAAAGAATAAATAAATAGAAAGTGTTCATATTTTCTTAGAATGGTGCCTTTTTCTATTGATGGGAGAGTAACGAGGTAAAGACTGTATTACCTCATTTTAGAAGTCATTTTAAATAGGCAATTAAACACTCTACAGAATGAAATAAGATTGCTATATTTATATTTGTTTTGTTACACTGAAAATGCCACTTTCTTCTCTAGTACAACTTACAAGTTAATTGTGCTCATTGTAGCAGAGAATGTTTGGTTCCTAAAATAAATACCTTCAGTCAATTTTATTTTATTCAAGTTTTATAATAATCTTAAAGATATTTCTCTCTACTTTTAGTTAATTTGCAACAAACATCTGAAAAGATTGACAATTTCAAGAAGGAAAACACAGAACTTGCTGAAAAAATAACTATTTGGGAACAGAAGGTATGATTGTCTAATTTTTGCTTTGTAATGGTTTTACTTTCAATTTTTGTCACCTCTTGTAGCTCAGTTACTTTGTTATCTCTTTATTTTGCTGGTGTCCCATTTCCCATGTCCTATATACTGTACACTTTCATAGCAAGCTTTGCATATCTAAAACACTTCTTTATACTCACTTGAAGATAGGATTTGTAGGCACTTCAATTAGTATTTCTGAATTTTAATTATTTTATTATATATTTATATAGGTTAATAAATTAAAGAGATGTCTTCAAGGAACTAAACATCTCAGTGATGAGGCACATAAACTTAAGGTAAATTTCTCTGTCCCCCACACACATTTTATTTCATTTAATTTTGTATAATTATTTATTTGAGATATTTTTGCCTTTAAGGCACATGCACTCTCAGAGAGGAACACAGGGACAGAGACGGAGACACTGAGAGGGAAAGTGAGAAATCACCCCCAAAGGGAATAGCCTTACCATGATCTCTTTTTCTTATTCATCCTGAGATCTTGGACAGGCACGCATATGCATCCAGCATGATTTTCAAGACCCTGGGTCTGGGACTCGCACTGCGTTTGGCCATGTGGGAATCCAGTGACATAACCGCTACACTGACTGCTGGTCCTATTTTATTTATTTATTTGCTCAAAATATATTATATAAAAAAAGAAGTAATGGTATCAATAAATTGCTCCTGATCACTATGCTTTGTTGAAGGATAATATCAAAACTTTTGATGGAACTATGAAAGTTGTGAACAACATCATTCAGGGTACACTATCTTGGCTACATACTGAGAAGGATGGAAATGTCAAGACTCAGGGCTTGGTAAGAGTTTGGCTGCTCCTTTTTAATCTTTCTTGATTTCTGAGGTTTTGGCCAGTAGGTGAGCTGAACTCCGCATTTTCTCTTGTCCTGCATATAGTGAAAGTGTGAGAGTCTGCCGGGCTGATACTTTTCCTGAAAATGTTCTGACATTGATGGATAACAGCACAGTGACTTTCTATATTAAGGGCCTAGGAAGCATATGTTATTTTCACAACCTGGATGTTGATCACATCAATCAGTACTGCCTTCTATTATCTAGAAAACCTAAGAAAATAAACTGAGGATGAAGATCTCTACTGAAGCTGAATTGTCCCTGCCCAAAGTATTAACCTGATTTTCTTTCTTTGCATATTGGGAAATTTTTTCCTTATCATTTTTCTGTAAAGAAAGCTAGTTGAGCTCTAAAGCTTGATATGTTTTCTGTCTTCTTTTTTTTTATTTCCTTCACTGTGAGGGAGCATATGTGCTCCCCAGACAGATAGAGAAAGCCCCAGTGGGGAGTTGTGACATGACAGTCATTTTCCTCCATTTCTTCATCACATCATGATTTTTAGCTGGCACACACATGCATTTGGCATGTTTTTCAACTGGCTGAGGCTTGGATTTGAACCATGGTTGGCACTGTGGGATCTGGCTTCTGATGCATGCAGCACATAACCAGTGTGCAATGGGGTTGACCCTGCCTTGTACCACTTTACACATTCTTTGCTTTCCCCTTATTATTCATTCTTCTACCCATTATCTCATAAGCATGAATGTTATAGACAACAGATAATACTCATACCACAAGGTTTATCCTTGTTACCATTTCTTCTTCTGCTTGACACTTGTAACCCCAAACTGATCAACTAATTTCCCATGATAATAGAGGCAGATGTGGGATATATTCTCTTAACACTTGATCTGTTTAGCTAAATTCCCAGTCCCATGTTTTGTTTGTACCAATGTGCAAATACTGGAAGAGGAAAACTCTACACAGACCTCGAAAGATGCTCCTTCAATGAAAACCTCAGGAGTTTCAGAGGTAAACTACATACGTTCACTGCATGGTTTCCAGTGTGCATCTTAGTTTTGATGAGGAATACATGTTTCATGTCTTAGAGTAAAATCATATGAGAAGTATGTGCAATTTTTGTTTTTGGAATTCTGTTTTTGTGAGCAGTTTTATCTTGTGTCCAATTGCCATTAATGGAGCTGGGAGCAGAGAAGAGAGAGTGAAGTATGAAGAGCACGCAGGCATTGAAGGAGAAAACCCTGCCAAAGATCAAGATGGAGCAGGTGACAGAAAGTCATTCCCATCCATTACTTGAATTAGAGACCAGAAAGCTCTTACTTCCTTTTAAATGGTTTATTTTACTTTTAATTGTGCTACTACAACACATTTAACTATAAATTCTAGGATAACAGAAATTAATTACTAAAGATTTTTCAGTGTATATTTTAGTAGTGATAAGTATATTCACATTATTATATAACCATTTATTCTTAGATGCCTTTTGTTGAATCTATATTACAGTCAGGAGATGTAAATGACCAACTCAAGGACTCAAAGATGAGATCTGTGAGGTTCTCTATACATAATCTGAAAGGTAGGTTTTTTTGGGGTAAGAAATCTCCATATCGTAGAAAGGAATATGTGCTGGGAAGATAAAGAGTGGCTTCCTGGGCTAGGAATCTTGGCCTCCTCTCACTCTATGCAAGTTCTTGGGTCCACGTGAACCCATGTGAAAACTGTTTCATCCTTCTAGAAAAAAAGAAGGACATGGAAGACACCTGCTCTTCCCTGAGGTCTGTGAAAGCAGCAAAGGAAGTGCAATACAAAACACTGCAAACAAAAGTAGAAAATATCTATGACATCTGCGAAGGAAGTAGGAAGGCTGCAGAGGAGTAAGATGCTCCTGTGTTCATTGATACAAATATTGCTGAGTAGAATATATGTGTTGAGCAGACTACTGTAACATATTTTAGAATCATTTTGAAAGTGTGCATCCCAAATTCACTTAGTACAATATTGTGGTCATCTTTCTTGCCTTGGTTTCTGTAATTGACATTTTTCTTTTCTGTCTAAATGGCTGTCTTGCATTCTTTTTCTTCATTCATAATGGAACATGTGCACATAGACAGAGAGACAGAGACAGAGAAGAAAAGAGAGGGGCCAGCAGATGGCACAATAGTTACATGGCTGGAATCCCACGTAGCCATCCGCAGTCTGAGTCCTGGACCTGGCTGCCTAAAATTCACAGGGTGTATGTGTGTGTGTGTGTGTTCTCAAAATCCTAAGAGGAGAATGGATGAGCAGAGATTGCAGCATGGCCACCTCCCTTGGGGAGTAATTAATTGCTTTCTGTCTCTCTGTTTCTCTCTGTCTCTCCACTGAGGACACACACCCTATAGCAACAATATCTCTCTCTCAAAAAAAGAGAGAAAGAGAAAGGGAAAAGAGCACACTCAACTCAAGAGAGTCTGGTCATACAATGATTCCTCCCATTCCATCCATCAATTCTTGGGCATTTGAGGGTAAGCCTGGCATGTTTCAGTCTAAAATTCAAAATGATGTGACTGATGAGTCCCAACTCCTCTTTAGTGGTGCATTACTACTGCAACACAGTGCTGGCCCATACCCTCTAGTCTGTAATTATTTTGGGGGCAGTAGAGACATTGATACCAGCATTGCTACCTTCTATATCTTACATCTGGATGCCCTCTGGGTCCATTTCTATCGTCATTTAGATTTCGATCATATTCCATTGTACCATCCTGCTAGTTATTGTGTTATTTTCTATTCAACACCAGACATTGAGTGGACAGTATTTAGAGAAAAATGGAGCCCTGATATGTTGTGATCTTGCTGCAGAAAAGTTGAGAGTTCACTTCTGGTACATGGTAGAGGCATTAGCAGTACTGGATCCCCTTAATCCAGCCTTTACTACAGGCTCAGTCCCAACAAAAGCCAGAATGTTCTCTGTCCATCTTATCCCTAGTGTGAAATTCTTGGTCCCAATCAAAGCTTGTAAGTGTCACGAGGGATCACCTTATTGATAGACCTTAAACTCCACTTGCTTTCCTTCTTTTTCTTAGGTTTTTTTTTTTTTTTTTTTTTTTTTTTTTTTTTTTTTTCTTTTTTTTTTTTTTGCTATAGGGTATGTGCACTTGCCAGAAAGACAGAGATGAGAGACAGAAAGAGAGAAATCACTCCCCAGGGGAGATGGCACACACACACATGCCCAGCGTGAGCTTATGCCACCAGGTCCAGGACTCAAACTGCAGTTGACTATATGGGAGTCCAGCAACATAGCCACTATGCCAACTGCTGGTCCCTCCACTTGTTTTCCTTCTAGCCCACACATGTGTACAAAAACTACTCAGCTTCTTTGAACCTCCAGAGTGTCTACCCAGAATTCATCGATGAGACAAGGGAGAAAAGACCCAAATACCAGGATGGACCAAGTCCTGGGTTTCTTTCTTCATTACCTCATGTTTCTAAGCTGGCTTCTTACCAATTCATGCATTCAGTTATGGGTTCCATTTGTTGTCCACTGTTTCTTCCTGTTTGTAGGGGTGATCAGGGACTTCAGATCTGCTCACTCCTATTCGAAACTGTCCCTCAAAACTCAGGTTTTATGTTAATCCTTCCCAAGCCCAAGGGAGGATGGGGACAGATTTCTATGTCCCCACTGAATTCCTGTGTGCATTAAACTGTATCTGTTTTAAGACCCATGCATGTCAGTCAGTACAGAGACATTAATCTCCCCACTTCAACATTCCATATCTTTTCTGTTTTCCCCAATCATTATTTTTATTATTCTAATTATTTTTATAAAACAGTCAATTGTTATTTCTCGTTTTGCTTGTAAAAATACTTTGCCCATCATGAAATACTTCTCAGACCAATCCAGTTGAGAATACTATACATGTCATCATCAACAGTTAATAACCCCTATCTGTTTCTCACTAACGTCCTGTCTCTCTATTGTTCACTTGCTATCTTTCTCTATCCTCTTCTCTTCACTTACCCCATTCCACACTGTCCTATTCTCATTAAGTACCTTCACTGTGTTTATGTCCTCCGAATTTTTGCTCTCTATTATAGTGCTTTTGTCACTGTTTTCTAGAGATATTTTTATTTCACATGTGAGCTATAAACAAAAAAATATTAGGTAATAAGTTGAGAATTTTCTGAATCAGAGCCATAAAGAAAGTCATTTGAAAATAATAGCAAATGTAATTGTTTAGCCTTTGCTCCTTTTTGCCTTTATTGTCAATGGAGTCAGCCTTGTTAATGTATAGCCACTCTGAGGCTGGTGGGTTTTCCGTGGGAAATGTTCTTGCAGGAGCTAACACCCTTGTTATAAAACTTGAATAATCTTTTAAATTTCAGTAGATGTTGCCAGCACTGAGATTATCCTCTTCCCCTAACCAGGATTTTTGAAGGAGGAGGCAAGAGTTCCACCCTGAATTATAGAAATGTCAGGGAGTGAATCACAGGGTGAATGACACCAGGACCTCTGGAAGGCTGACTGTCTGTGTGAAGCACCATCTTTTCTTTTAAGGAGGGCAGCTCTCCCCATAGCAAGAGGCAGATAAACTCTCATCTCCTGCCCCACTATGATGTGTGTACTTGTGAGGAGCTGAACTAAAATGAGTTTTTACTTTCTCAACAAAGAGACTGACCAAAAAAAGGACACTAATGCTTCTACTAGATGGTTTTATCTTAGCTGATTTATGTAGTATTTAACAGAACACAGAGCCATGAAGAAAAACTTGTATTTGGCAATTCCTTTCCCTCAGACCACAGTTTAATTTTTCTTAGTCTCTCCTTAGGAAACTTTCTTTTCCGTCTGTCAGGGGTTGTCATTCTGTATAGTCATAGGGGAGTTTGGGAAGGGACTTTTGAATGAAGACCTTAGAGATGGCTAGGAATTTCATATAAGCTACTGGATAATGTGTATTTCCTTCCTATCTTAGGAAGCTATTTATGAGACGATGTGAGTGGGAAGAGAAAGAAAAGAAGCTATCAATTGCACAAGATAAAGAGAAGTCAGCTAGTGAAGAAATACTGTATTTAAAGTGAGTTCAGATACTGAACATCAGTATCAAAGGCAACCCTCATTGGATTTTCTTGTATTTTAATCTTTATAAAATAATTAGATTCAATTAACCCAGAGATATAAAGAAATGGTCCAAAGGCTTTGTACACACATGCACGCTCTCACACAGAGAGAAACAGAGAAACGACTAACAAGGCGGTGTGGGCAGAAATAACTAAATAATGTTGAGTTACTAAAAGTTACCTGAACCCTAGGGCTGGTTAGATTATGCAGAAACTTGGTTGACATAAATATTTCTTAGGGTGTTGAAAATAGTCTCAATTCCTAGGAAAGCAGTTTGATGTAGGATAAATCATGTCCACAAAAGTGATTGTCTCATTTTATAAACCCAGTTGTCATTGCCCTGTGAAATATCATAAAATAATAATTTCAGGGAGAATTGAGCTTTGTGATAAAAGATGCTCAAAAGAAGTTTATGTACAGAAATATTGAGATGGGTTAAGAAATCTTATCAACTGGGGACTCTGCTGAATTCCATAATGGATAAGGAAACTATACAGCAATAATTTTAAACCTACTGTACATTCATGTGACATGTACTATCTGCAGATAAATTGTGTAAGGATACAGTTGTGAAGATAACAGGGAAATGAGATATTATTGAAAATGATACTCAATGTCGTGCTTTGTCTGATGAAAGCAATGTTTTGTCATAGGAAAAAAACAGGAGAAATTCAAGAACAAGTGCAGAAAAAAGAGAAGCACCTTCAATACCAGGTAACCTGCACTCTTTCAATAGTTGCAGAATCCTCCAGTACCTGAAAGAGGTGATTATAATTGCCCTTAGCAATTCTAAATATACTGTGCCCTATGTGTTTTCTTTTTCAGATCATCATTTACGAACAAAAAACTTATGACAACTGTGTAAGATTCTTTTCTTTCCTTCCTCCTGCGCATAGTCGGTCACAACTGCACATATATATGTTTCTCTCCTGCAGCTCAGGACTTGTGCCATGGACAGAGCAGTTGCAGAAGAAATCAGGGAGGCCACCAACTTGAAGGAACGGTATGACATTGGGACATTGGAGTTTATTTTTTATTTCTTCAGAGAGTCAGACAGATAGCAAGAGAAAGACAGGTTCCCTCACAGGGTCTTCTTTCTGCTCTCTACATCCAGACCAAGCCACCAAAGTTCATGGGCATGTGTATATCTTGTGTGTACAGTGAGATGTTGGGGTGTGAACCTGGGACCTTCCCATGTGGCTCTACCATCATAAAGCCTTATATAAATACTGTGCCCCTGTGGCTAGCAAGATATGGACAGTTTTGACATTGCTCTTAGTGTTTTAACATTAAGATGTTGAGGACTAGTAAAAGGTTTCACCTTGAATATCCAATGAGAAGAAGACCCTAGGTTATGGAAGTAAGCATAGGGTTATGAGGAGGGACTTTCCAGTAGAGCTGGTATGAACTGGTTATCTGCCTCATTGATGTTGTGATTCTTATCAACCTTATTCTTTATCTGCAAGTTTGGCAATAGTGCAATATTGGAGGCTGCCCAAGGGACACAGGCTGCACCCAGCACCAGGGTGATCCAGCATAGACAGTCCTGCATGGGAAGGTAGGAGCACTCTGAGAAAGTGACAGCTCAGATCCTGCTGCAGAATACATATTGTTTCTGGGGTGACTGTGATACTGCTAACCTCAGGTGCCCCACCCAGATGGCTCTTTGAGCCAGCCCTGTGAATGGTGGTGCTCAGGTTCCACCACTGACTGTGGACACCAGAGCTCCACCTCTCATTTATGTTTCACCAAAGAGTGTGCCTGAAGGAAAGTGGGTGAGCTCTTCTATCTCACCGTGAGTCAGTGATGAAGGCTTCATCACACTTTACTGTTGTTTGGAACAAACTACATCAACAAAATTTCAGAATGGCACCTGTAGGTTCTAGTGAAAGGAATATTTTTAAAATTGACTTCCTAGATAAATAGTCTATTGTACATGTCTACTTTAAGAAAGTAGACATTTATTTAGAGGGGATTTTTTTGAGATATTTTTGTTCTTTATCTGTTTTGATTTTTTAACTATGAACTGTAGAACTCTAGTAAATTTAATTCACATAATTTCACTCCTCTGAAATTGTGTATTCTGAAATCTTTACAGTTAAATCCCATAGCACTATCTTTTTCTCATTGGTATCATTATTCCTATAAGTCCATTTCTGTTCATAAACATTTACACAAAACCTTATCTGATATGGAAGGCAAATTATATATAGACCAAGAAAAAAAAATACACTGTGGCTTAAAGAAAAAGACTGGTGCTATTCTTGCCAGGATTGGTTGATACTCTTTCTTTCCATGGCTGTTTTTAGTCTGTGCTTATATTGTCCTTTTACCTCAGGTGTAGTAGGAAACCCCTATCTCAGTGTTAATTTCCAGCTTGTTGGAGCCCTGGTCTATCTGCCAATGGTTGGTTTGTTTTGAAATCCCCTAAGTCAGGGTTCTGCGATACCTTTCTCACAAGTTAGGGCATGGGTTTCTCCATTGTCTTCACGGGTCATCTGAGGCATGTGGTAAACTCCCTGCCTCAAGTAAGAGACCTGGGTACGTGAACTAGAGTAAGATAGTGAGAGAAGGCATGCAGGGGATTTTATTCTACTGCACAGAAAGTGCAAGTCACACTAAACCCCAGTCTTGTCTGGCCATAGGAGATTCTGTATGTCATGCACTTCCCATGGAGAGAAGCTTCATGATCCCTCCTGAGGATGCAGGAAAGAAAAAGGTAAATGTTGAGGCCCTTTCCAATGTGATGATGTCAGGAAACCTTAACTTTTCATGTGTTACCTCTCCTGGTGTGTGTTCTGTGTATTTTTAAAAAGCAAAATCCTCCCCAAGAGCCTACAGAGTTCCCAGCTCTTTGGAATCTTATGGCATCTCCAGAAGGTTTAGAGGCTGAAGCCTGAGGTTTCACTTTTGCACGTCCAATGAGAAGCCCCTATGTTAGGGAGGGAAGGAAAGGGCCATGAGGGAGGGACTTGTAGTTGAAGTTGTTATGGACTGCCTTTCTGCCTCCCGTAAACAGTATGGACCTGAGAAAACTTTCTTCTCCCCTGGGAGTCATTGGTCTCTTGGTGTCAGAGCAGATACTCTGTTAAGTATGTTTAGGTCCTTGTTAGCTCATAGAGTTCTGAAAATGAAATAGGACAAGAAAGACCCAGAGACAGTTTTCCTCAGAGTAGCTGTTCCTACATGTAGGATGAACAGACTCTTTATTTGCTCTCATTTCTCTGTGAACTTGTTGGTAATGAGTATCTGTGGTGGTAGTGGTGAGGGAGAGGTAGGACTTGTCCTGAACATAGATGCTCCTGTGTCTGCAATGCGCCCCAGTATTAGTCTGCAGTTGTCTTATTTCATCCATTGGGACTGATCCCTAGCCTTTCCTACATGGGTAGACCCAGGCCATGACATGTGGTAAGAATAGTTTATTCCTATGACTCCCCCTCTCTCCATTCACTTTTGCCAGGACTTAGTAGAAGGGAGACTTTTGTGGCCATTATGAGTACTGATAGAAGGGAAGGAGCCAGGGACTGTCACCTGCTTCACTTTCAGCTTTTGTGTTGGTATCATTCACTGTCATATCAACATAATTTGACCTTCTTCTTCTCTGCAGGTCAACATGGCTGTCAAAGGGCCCCCTCCATTCCCAGAACTGCCCCAGATGCCCTACCCCAAGCAGGGCCATTTATCATCAGATATGTGTCCTGGGCCACTGCCGCCACATCCACCACCTCCCTGTCCACCACAAGGTAAGATGATCTGAGACTGATGAGCTGACTTGGAAGGCATTGTCATCTCTGGAGTCAATTAAGAAAATTAGGATGTGTGGTTCTTAGTTAGTTCCATGCCCAGGCAGAAAATATTGAATCCATGCAGATATTCCAGATAGTGCTGCAGGGCTTCACAATCAAGCTGGCTGAACACATTATAGCTCTTCTCAGGTTTCTTAGGACAGCATGGACTATGTCTTCTTCCCAGCATGAGGTGGCCAGTGGCTCTTCTCTTACAGATGAGTAAATAGGTTCTGTATTCAAGAAATAGCAGTTTTGTACATATGCAGGGGTCACTGGCCATACGTGCCAGCCCTGTGAGGGATTAGACATGTCCTGACTTCTAGAGCTACAGATGTCCTAGGTGTGACACACCTAAAGTGTCACAGAGCTTGGGATCACCAATAATAGAAGCACCAAGGGAGGGCAGGGCCCCAGAGTACAATGTGCGAGAGCGAATATCTTGGTATTAATCAAGAGAGAAGAGAAAGTGATGAAGCACCACGTGGGAGTGTGTTGGCCTCAGTGACACCTGGAGATCTACATTTGAGATCTCAAAACAAGATCTGAGACCTGGGAAGGAGCTGGAAGTCCTCCCTGGCAGGCCAGGCTTCTAGGGCAAGAATCATGAAGGCAGCATCAGACCCATTCAAAGTCACTGGGAGACAATCCAGATGATCAAGTGTGGGCTGGGGAATGTCCCTCCCCCACAATCAAAGTCAAGTGCTTGGTCTACAGCCCTGCACCTGTAATCCGAAGTAAAGATGGTTGGGTCCCTCTGATGTGTGATGCTTTTGGATCAGTATGAAAGGTCCAGGAGGTTGGGGGAAATTTCATGTGGATTTGCCAGGATAATCTGTCTTTCTGAGTTTATGTTCTGGTGACACTCAAAGCAAGGACAGGTATAGTCTGGCAGAGCAGTGTCCCTGGACTCTGGAATGAGGCCACCATCAGTAGGGAGGTCAAGGCTGCTCCTTAGGTGCTGACTGGGTGTCTGTCCCCACAGCCCCACATTCTCCCCTTAACTCCCTGCCTCAGCTGCACACCGGCACTTGCCCATTCTTTTCCTGTATTCTGCTATATCAGTGTCGATGCCAACAATTCATGGGACCTGCTCTGAGCCTCAGTTTTGTT